TCTAATGAAGTACAAACAAGCAGATGAAAATCAATAGGCTAACCCTTATTGGTGAGATAAATGCCACCTTCTGAAGGGATTCTATTAAGGCTAAGATATATGCATTCATATGTTTTCGATTTCTCTTCATAAGAAAAAATAAAAAACTGTTCCGCTTATGGATATACACGCAGCAAGAGGATAAGAACATGCAGAATAACATAAATCCTGGGGAAAAGAGCAACAAAGAGTCTATCACTAAAATACACATATTTCATCGTGTAATAAACACAAACAATACCAGAACAGAAGGTTCAAAAATTCATTCCTAAGTAAAGCACACACCAAAATATCACAGGAAAAACCATAGGAAGAAAAAACCTACTATAAAGAATGCACCATCTGAGAAATAAAAAACGTTAGCCATTTCTAAACGTTTACTCATGACTTCAATACTTCTGTGTAAAGATAAAAAATCACTTTACATAACCGTCTGTAAAAAGTCAATCTAACAAAGGTTAAATAGTAGGTAGTAGTGGAGGATCGCTTCACCTTTCCTTAAGTCTTCTTATAAGCAAGTATTTAGGGTCCATTCCACAGTCAAAATTGATTCCTTATAGCTTCTTAATCAGTGAATAATTGGATTGATTGATGTTCACAGTAATAGTTTATTAGCAAATTACTGTAGTCGAACTGTATGCGTTAACAAAGTTATCATTACCAATTGGATATTTGTATTCATTTAAGCTGCTAATCAATAATCTGAGAGATTGTTACCACGTTAATCAATAATGTCAAAATTCTAGCAATTATTTAGGTCATTATAACTTACAAAAGTGTACCACTCCCCGTCCATTATTCGGCACTACAGTGGTCTCACCTGAAGTCAACACAACCGGTCTGACGGCTGAGCGAATTCAAAATACTGGCTAAATGACCTTTGCTGTCTCTTCCATCATATCTTGATTTCATTCTCAACAACACCTTCAAACGCTGACTCAGAAGATATCCAGGCCAGCTTATTACCACGTAATTACCGACTTTTATTAGAGATATACAAATGTGAGTCATATTATAACCAGCAAAATACCCTGTGGTAATGGCTTATGTCGTTCTTATTCCAGTCTTCAGAATCACCAAATCGTCATTTTTGATAAATGCACCAAGGGATATCATGGGACACTGAGTTCGGAGTTCATCTCTCTCAGTCACATTCATGTTCCTTTCATCACACAACCAATGGTTATATGCAGTACTGTCTACATTAGACGCTAAAATTTATTTCCCCCACCCACCCTTAAAATATGAGTTAGGAACTAAGTTCCTTCCAGGAACACTGATCTTCAGACGCACTTGAAATAGTAACATTTTCGCTGAATCAAAGTATGCCAATGTCCATTTAATCATCTGTACATCTAAAGGACTCTTATACATTTGGGCGTTACAAAATTACATCAGCCTGAATACTCACTACTTCCATCAAATGCTAAGCTGATTGTTTGCTCTGTCACACTACCTCTACTGCTACTCTTCCACCAAGAATGAACTCATTCCCAGGGACAGCTCCTGCTATCCTTCTGCGTTCCCCTCCAAATTCTCAGCAGACAACAGATGTCATAAGTTCCACAGAACTCTACTACACATAGTAACTTCTTTCGCTGAATCGAATCAACCCTAGATGATTCTAGTGGGAGGGTAATGTAGGGGATCACAGAAGTTCATCAAATCAATTGAACCTCAACCATTTCACCTTCAATGATAAATTTGTTTGTCTGTGTGGATTCTCACACACGGTAGACAATTGAATTTTCAAGGGACAACAACTCAGCGACTATGTTGTGTTGATTGTGTATTTCTATACTCTCTTAGCATCATTGTTAGTAAATAAATACATCTTTGAACAGGCGTGAGGGTTACATTCTTCCTTCACTAGTTGGAACGGTGTTAACAAAACCCTGGAGACTAGATTAGGTGAGTCAGGCTAAATGGTGGTCAGCAGGTAGAGTTTCCGAAGCTCATGTCAAGCAGAATAGTTGGTCACACAGCAGCCATGACAGTTATTTCTAGTTAGAGTCAGATGGGAACCAGCTCGAAGTCGTCCAAGCAGCCTAACTAACTGATTTCCATCATCTTCATTTTCTGCGCCATATCTGTTGAACAACACTCTCCTCATTTGTACCATCCCACATTTTCCCACTCCTAATTCCTTCTGTATGACCATCTGATCTCCAGTATACAGCCGAAGCCGCTGTTCATAGAAGCTAGCAGCTAGCTGTTAGAAATGCTTTCTGTGACGTGCCAATTTTCTGAACCATATAGAAGCACTCACTGACTCGGCAATGGTGTTGAAAATCCCAATCCTGTTCATCGTACTAGGTGCAGAGAATTTCCAAACTGATCTCAGAGTGATGAAGGCCTGTCTCGTCTTTTCGATTCTGTTTCTGACATCGTCATCCGTGGCATGTGCCTGTAGTTAAAACAGTGCTGCCTAGACAAGTGAAGGAAGTGACCTCTTTCGAATTTCTCCTGTTGATAGTGATCGGTGCTTGTTGTCGTCGGTTGTTTGGCTATCATCATCACCTCCGTCTTCTCTAAATTCACTTGAAGTTCAGTCTTCGCCACCTGCGTGTTCTACAAACGTTTTGGTTTTCGCCTGTAGATCTGCGAATTAGTGTGACACTAGAAATAGGTCTCCCTCAACCCCCCTCCCGAAATCCAGATATTCTGGAGCCTTGTCATCCGTCCAACGTATCCTTGTCTTTTCGCCGCCCACGGTCTGTCACATAATCCACACACCATCAAAATCAAGAATACCATCCGTGATAGTAGACAGATATATCTTACTCCAGTCTTCACTTAAAACGCCTCTCTGGGTTCTTAATTTGCGGATTATTTCAAATGTGGCATTGTCAAATGTTATTACCTTAATATCGCCATACAACGTCTGAAAGATGACAGTCTCCAGAGGTCAATTTGCTGAAAGCCTGCATGTAATGGAAAATAATTACATTTTAATAGGTTGTCCAAATAGCTATAAGCGACCACTGGTCAAAACTCTGTTCCACAGATTCACGAGAATATGCTCTATAGAGAAATTAGAGGAGGAGTTTCTAGCTCTTGAAAAGATGTTGAGAAACAACTGCTACCCTCAGAAATTTGTCATCAAGTATGGAAGATGTGAAGGCTCAAATATCAAACAAATCACATTGGGGAAAGGCCTATCTTCATCCAACTCAATTTTAAAGGTGATAATATTACAGGAGTAGTTAACAGAAAATCGAATACCCCACTAGCCAGAACCTATCTTGAAAATAAGTTGGTTCCCGTCTATCGGATGACATGCTCTTGAGTGCAATCAGAGGTAGACAGATACCCTTCTCATGTTAACCCTAAATGTGTATACAGATTTGCATGTATATGCGGTTGCACTTACATTGAGAGAACAGGGTGAGGACACACCTCCGTTTTTCTGAACATGTGACCAAAAGCTTACATCTCAAGTGGACAAACACTTACGGTGGTGCCACTGCCAGACTGCTCATCAATACGGGTCAGGAAAAGAACATCGCGAAACCCTTTAGAACTATCAACGGACAAAATGGCCAAAGCAATCGCTATCGGACGCCTAGAAACTAATTGATGTGTTTAGAAGGAAGTAGTTATCAGTCTTTCCTTGACCTGGTAACTGGATGTCTTTATTCTATCCCCCATTCGATCGCGTAATTTTGGTCTTTACCTCTTTCCCCTTTTTGATACGGTGTAACTTTGCTCGTCTCTTGTTTTTATGATTTCAGTTGAACTCACTTTAACGTTACTCAGCCCATTATTTACTCACCATCTTGTTCACTTCTTATCTATACTACGTAACTCCTTTACCATTGTAAGTAAAATTTATTTTTGCTTGAACTGGGACTCTGTGGTTATAAACCATATAGGTATAAATTTTTGAGTAGTAATTACTAAATTTGAAGAGTCTTGGCGACTGTCATCATGTGAAGTTGACAGTTATGTTAAAACGTTTCTGTCCATAAGCTTAGAAATTTCAATAGGTTGTAAACTGCTAATGAAGGCTGACGAAAACAATAATGGTACCATCTTATTTTGCAAGCACTTCTGTGCCTTCTTTATTCTTTTTTACATATCTACTGAATGACTTTGACAAATGTTTCAAACGTTCTTTTTCTCGCAGAAGTCTCTGAATTACTTCGCTGTCACCTCTGTCGAATGACTTTCAAATTGTGACTAAGTTATGGTATAGATTTCACTACCATCATTCGCTCTGTTAGATTATGTTGCGTATCATCGCGATTCAATCCACACATGATTTGCGTTTCGCGAATGCAGCTTGTTCCAGGTGAAGTTTAGCATCTAGGGCACCTTTCAATCTCTTCATTATGATGTGACTTAACATTTTGTCTTTGAGTTTCCAAATACATGATTCCGCGCCAGCTACTGAAAAGCTTAGTTCTCACTTCTTTGGTGGTTTGACAAGTTATGCTTTCTTCCAAACAGTAGGTACCTTTACTTCCCACCAAAATTTCTGCAATAGCTGCGTGAAGGTATCAGCACTTCTGGAAGAGTGCATAATCTTAATGAACAATTATAAATCTAATCTGTTCACTCTTTTCATACTTTTCACGTCTAAATTCCCAAAAGGATACAACTGGAGAGGACCAAAGCTAAGGACGAAACGTACTTTTCAGTACAGTTTCCTTTTCAGAGTTATTGATAGAACCAACTCTCACAAGACCTACTCTCTGTTTTCAAATCAGTTGTTAACAGGCGAACAGATGATCGGTTTTAGTTGAATGAAGAGGATTGGTACAGACTGCAAGGCGTCCTACTCCAAATGAAATCTGAATACAGAACTATATTTGACAAACTTATATTAGCTTATGTAACCTTTCAGCCATCTAGAAAAACTTGAATAAGGTAATTAGTATTTTTACGATTTAGTGGAATAGTAAATTTATTGATCGATTAAAATTAGTGAATAAATTGATTTATAAATATATACTCACGTTTGTTTAAAAATATTCTTTGCGGTTTAGTCTCGCTTTTCACCGTCATATCACTTGGCTTACATACATTTCCATTAATCTCTTCCTTAGCAGTATTACAGCCAATATAATTGTCAAGGTTTCCTCTACAACAAGATTGATTAGTATGAACGATGTGCCATATAAGAAATAAGAAACGCTTAGTCATCTCTAAACGTTTACTCATGACTTCAATACTTCTGTGTAAAGATAAAAAATCAATTTACATAACCGTCTGTAAAAAGTCAATCTAACAAAGGTTAAATAGTAGGTAGTAGTGGAGGATCGCTTCACCTTTCCTTAAGTCTTCTTATAAGCAAGTATTTAGGGTCCATTCCACAGTCAAAATTGATTCCTTATAGCTTCTTAATCAGTGAATAATTGGATTGATTGATGTTCACAGTAATAGTTTATTAGCAAATTACTGTAGTCGAACTGTATGCGTTAACAAAGTTATCATTACCAATTGGATATTTGTATTCATTTAAGCTGCTAATCAATAATCTGAGAGATTGTTACCACGTTAATCAATAATGTCAAAATTCTAGCAATTATTTAGGTCATTATAACTTACAAAAGTGTACCACTCCCCGTCCATTATTCGGCACTACAGTGGTCTCACCTGAAGTCAACACAACCGGTCTGACGGCTGAGCGAATTCAAAATACTGGCTAAATGACCTTTGCTGTCTCTTCCATCATATCTTGATTTCATTCTCAACAACACCTTCAAACGCTGACTCAGAAGATATCCAGGCCAGCTTATTACCACGTAATTACCGACTTTTATTAGAGATATACAAATGTGAGTCATATTATAACCAGCAAAATACCCTGTGGTAATGGCTTATGTCGTTCTTATTCCAGTCTTCAGAATCACCAAATCGTCATTTTTGATAAATGCACCAAGGGATATCATGGGACACTGAGTTCGGAGTTCATCTCTCTCAGTCACATTCATGTTCCTTTCATCACACAACCAATGGTTATATGCAGTACTGTCTACATTAGACGCTAAAATTTATTTCCCCCACCCACCCTTAAAATATGAGTTAGGAACTAAGTTCCTTCCAGGAACACTGATCTTCAGACGCACTTGAAATAGTAACATTTTCGCTGAATCAAAGTATGCCAATGTCCATTTAATCATCTGTACATCTAAAGGACTCTTATACATTTTGGCGTTACAAAATTACATCAGCCTGAATACTCACTACTTCCATCAAATGCTAAGCTGATTGTTTGCTCTGTCACACTACCTCTACTGCTACTCTTCCACCAAGAATGAACTCATTCCCAGGGACAGCTCCTGCTATCCTTCTGCGTTCCCCTCCAAATTCTCAGCAGACAACAGATGTCATAAGTTCCACAGAACTCTACTACACATAGTAACTTCTTTCGCTGAATCGAATCAACCCTAGATGATTCTAGTGGGAGGGTAATGTAGGGGATCACAGAAGTTCATCAAATCAATTGAACCTCAACCATTTCACCTTCAATGATAAATTTGTTTGTCTGTGTGGATTCTCACACACGGTAGACAATTGAATTTTCAAGGGACAACAACTCAGCGACTATGTTGTGTTGATTGTGTATTTCTATACTCTCTTAGCATCATTGTTAGTAAATAAATACATCTTTGAACAGGCGTGAGGGTTACATTCTTCCTTCACTAGTTGGAACGGTGTTAACAAAACCCTGGAGACTAGATTAGGTGAGTCAGGCTAAATGGTGGTCAGCAGGTAGAGTTTCCGAAGCTCATGTCAAGCAGAATAGTTGGTCACACAGCAGCCATGACAGTTATTTCTAGTTAGAGTCAGATGGGAACCAGCTCGAAGTCGTCCAAGCAGCCTAACTAACTGATTTCCATCATCTTCATTTTCTGCGCCATATCTGTTGAACAACACTCTCCTCATTTGTACCATCCCACATTTTCCCACTCCTAATTCCTTCTGTATGACCATCTGATCTCCAGTATACAGCCGAAGCCGCTGTTCATAGAAGCTAGCAGCTAGCTGTTAGAAATGCTTTCTGTGACGTGCCAATTTTCTGAACCATATAGAAGCACTCACTGACTCGGCAATGGTGTTGAAAATCCCAATCCTGTTCATCGTACTAGGTGCAGAGAATTTCCAAACTGATCTCAGAGTGATGAAGGCCTGTCTCGTCTTTTCGATTCTGTTTCTGACATCGTCATCCGTGGCATGTGCCTGTAGTTAAAACAGTGCTGCCTAGACAAGTGAAGGAAGTGACCTCTTTCGAATTTCTCCTGTTGATAGTGATCGGTGCTTGTTGTCGTCGGTTGTTTGGCTATCATCATCACCTCCGTCTTCTCTAAATTCACTTGAAGTTCAGTCTTCGCCACCTGCGTGTTCTACAAACGTTTTGGTTTTCGCCTGTAGATCTGCGAATTAGTGTGACACTAGAAATAGGTCTCCCTCAACCCCCCTCCCGAAATCCAGATATTCTGGAGCCTTGTCATCCGTCCAACGTATCCTTGTCTTTTCGCCGCCCACGGTCTGTCACATAATCCACACACCATCAAAATCAGGAATACCATCCGTGATAGTAGACAGATATATCTTACTCCAGTCTTCACTTAAAACGCCTCTCTGGGTTCTTAATTTGCGGATTATTTCAAATGTGGCATTGTCAAATGTTATTACCTTAATATCGCCATACAACGTCTGAAAGATGACAGTCTCCAGAGGTCAATTTGCTGAAAGCCTGCATGTAATGGAAAATAATTACATTTTAATAGGTTGTCCAAATAGCTATAAGCGACCACTGGTCAAAACTCTGTTCCACAGATTCACGAGAATATGCTCTATAGAGAAATTAGAGGAGGAGTTTCTAGCTCTTGAAAAGATGTTGAGAAACAACTGCTACCCTCAGAAATTTGTCATCAAGTATGGAAGATGTGAAGGCTCAAATATCAAACAAATCACATTGGGGAAAGGCCTATCTTCATCCAACTCAATTTTAAAGGTGATAATATTACAGGAGTAGTTAACAGAAAATCGAATACCCCACTAGCCAGAACCTATCTTGAAAATAAGTTGGTTCCCGTCTATCGGATGACATGCTCTTGAGTGCAATCAGAGGTAGACAGATACCCTTCTCATGTTAACCCTAAATGTGTATACAGATTTGCATGTATATGCGGTTGCACTTACATTGAGAGAACAGGGTGAGGACACACCTCCGTTTTTCTGAACATGTGACCAAAAGCTTACATCTCAAGTGGACAAACACTTACGGTGGTGCCACTGCCAGACTGCTCATCAATACGGGTCAGGAAAAGAACATCGCGAAACCCTTTAGAACTATCAACGGACAAAATGGCCAAAGCAATCGCTATCGGACGCCTAGAAACTAATTGATGTGTTTAGAAGGAAGTAGTTATCAGTCTTTCCTTGACCTGGTAACTGGATGTCTTTATTCTATCCCCCATTCGATCGCGTAATTTTGGTCTTTACCTCTTTCCCCTTTTTGATACGGTGTAACTTTGCTCGTCTCTTGTTTTTATGATTTCAGTTGAACTCACTTTAACGTTACTCAGCCCATTATTTACTCACCATCTTGTTCACTTCTTATCTATACTACGTAACTCCTTTACCATTGTAAGTAAAATTTATTTTTGCTTGAACTGGGACTCTGTGGTTATAAACCATATAGGTATAAATTTTTGAGTAGTAATTACTAAATTTGAAGAGTCTTGGCGACTGTCATCGTGTGAAGTTGACAGTTATGTTAAAACGTTTCTGTCCATAAGCTTAGAAATTTCAATAGGTTGTAAACTGCTAATGAAGGCTGACGAAAACAATAATGGTACCATCTTATTTTGCAAGCACTTCTGTGCCTTCTTTATTCTTTTTTACATATCTACTGAATGACTTTGACAAATGTTTCAAACGTTCTTTTTCTCGCAGAAGTCTCTGAATTACTTCGCTGTCACCTCTGTCGAATGACTTTCAAATTGTGACTAAGTTATGGTATAGATTTCACTACCATCATTCGCTCTGTTAGATTATGTTGCGTATCATCGCGATTCAATCCACACATGATTTGCGTTTCGCGAATGCAGCTTGTTCCAGGTGAAGTTTAGCATCTAGGGCACCTTTCAATCTCTTCATTATGATGTGACTTAACATTTTGTCTTTGAGTTTCCAAATACATGATTCCGCGCCAGCTACTGAAAAGCTTAGTTCTCACTTCTTTGGTAGTTTGACAAGTTATGCTTTCTTCCAAACAGTAGGTACCTTTACTTCCCACCAAAATTTCTGCAATAGCTGCGTGAAGGTATCAGCACTTCTGGAAGAGTGCATAATCTTAATGAACAATTATAAATCTAATCTGTTCACTCTTTTCATACTTTTCACGTCTAAATTCCCAAAAGGATACAACGGGAGAGGACCAAAGCTAAGGACGAAATGTACTTTTCAGTATAGTTTCCCTCTGATGGTTTGTTTCAAAGCGCTGTGGACATTTCTAGTGCGTGTGTCTACCGAGTTGGGGCACACTAATGACCGTAGGCGAGTGATCAGGATCCAGTGTGTAATTTTAGGATGCATTTTCGACCTTTTAGGCAGACCGCAGGCCATTGTTCCACTTTCTGGAATTCGTCACATGTTTTCGCCCCGAAATCTCTGCAGAGAACCTGAAGTAACGGCCAGTTGAGGTAATCGCTCCATGTATTCTTAGTCCTGAACTTAAAAGTCTCACACATTGTAAGTTTTTGTCATTGTAAGAACCAAAGTATAACATTTACGAGCAAGAGCTGAAATTGTTTTAAATTCAGGAATCCTAAAGGTAGTATAGGCTCTCCTACAACATCCTTTTCAAAAAACTATTAGAACGCATGTTCGTCGGTGGCATAATGGTTAGGACGCTCGCCGATCATACACATACTCCGGGGTTCGATTCCCGGCCAACGCACTCCTTTACCTCGCTAAGCCAGAAATAATGATGGTAAAGAGGAAAGGTTGGGCATGAGGTTAGCAACCCTATCCTGTAAAATAAACACTCCTACAGAAACTTCAAGCCACTAGCTTGAAGCCCTACCCAGTCGGTTAATTCACATGGGCAAACGTGGGCAAACGTGGGAAAAAAGGGTAATTTAGATCGGCAAACACGTGGGCAAAAGATGGTGTAAATGCAACCGATTTTACCCACTTTGGCCACATTTCCCACTTTTTCCCCGTTTTCCCATGTCAGTGAAAAATGTTTTGTCCCACTTTTTCCCAGTTTTCCCACTTGACCCACGTTTTTACCCACTTATCCCATGTGCCGGAATAACAAATGTACCCACTTTTACCCAGTTTTCCCACGTTTTCAACGAACAATTCAACACTTTTACCCCGTTTTCCCACTTTACCCATGTTACAGCCCACTTTATCCCACTTTGCCCACATTTCAACGGAAAACTGCCCACGTTTTTACCCACATATCCCAGGTCGAAAAAAAAAGTAACCGACTGGGTATGTTCCACTAGGGAACATGAAGAAAAAATTAGAGAGCCAATAATGAAACCACTCACCGGTCAGAGAGCTTGAATCCTACCGATTGGCACAAGCCAACGTTTTTAGTCACTTCCTCTAGTAGCTTTGTGTGGAAAGACTTTGAAATCGCTCCCTGAGCCCAAGAATCTATTCTGCACGAGTCAGCGACTATACATATTGTTATGATGATAAATATTTATTTAAAAGCACAAAGATACCTTCATCTTCTCTCCACTCACTACTGGTTGTAATACATGGTTCACCTGGATCACAACACATAAATTCCAACTGCGTAATAATATTTACTAAGTGAAATTTACATTAACCAGCTGCGAAAGAGATGATGATGCTTGATGTACCACGAATGGAATCAACTGATTTGTCAAATAAATTTTGAATGCAGTATCAAACGACTTTCCAACAATGTATTCAGCTACCTCATAGCATATCTTTTCTGATAGGTTATCTTCAAGTAAGGAATTCCTAAAGTCATAGTGACTTATTTTTCACAAACCACTCTGCATCCGAAAGTCTTCCAGGAATCACATCTTGAATAACGGGGGAAAAGTTTGCATTTTTCCCTTTCTCAGTTTTACCTCGATTTGTAGATGGTTTGGACATTTAATTTGACTTTGCACTACTCTGTTCGTATGGTGACGCCTTAATTCGATTGATTAAAACACATCTACTACATGTTGACAAGCGATAAAAACGTAAAGATCCTTGGCTTGCTCGGCTCTTTTCAGGCTTATTAGTTGAAAAGGGGTTGTACAGTCACAATAGAGCTTCTGAGACTCGCTAATTTCATTTCGACATGAAATCCTTCAATTAGGGAGGGGGAAACTCTAGAGAAATTGATGCTGTCCAAACAGGGATAGAAGCAAGAGCACCTGTAGGCGAGACGAAATCATGGTAACCAATATGCCTTACACTGGCTCTGATTGGCCAAATTGATCTTTTTGAGTTCTCAACCTAGTAACAAGGTTAAAGACACCGATCCTCGGGAATCTCTTCCAATATCCAATATCCAATATCGTTTTTACGAGCTAGTATAAACCAATTTGATTTCTTTGTGCTCGCTTCTTGATTGTGAGGTATAGGTTCTTGATCTTCGGTAAACTTCTGCGTAGCTTGTCCCGCCACTCGACTGTCGTAGCTTTGGTTGACTCCAAAGGGAGTAGTGCTGGGATTAATTATATGTGGTTTGTAGTATGAGGTATGTTAAGACTGTTACTACTGTGATTGGAGTTGATCCTTTCGCCAGTTAGTCCTTCGGTATTGTCGACAAGAGAAGAGAGATAGTAATAATAATAATAATAGTAATAATAATAGATATAATTAGTGAAGCTATTCAGACTAAGAGACAGAAACGAAAATAGGAAACGTAACAACAGTCAGCTCATTAAGTTTGAAGAATAATATATATATCGGTAATAGTAATAATAATAATAGTAATTATAATATTAATAAGTTGTCAGGAGAGTAAGACGGGAGAGAATGTAAAGAAGTAAAATGACGAGTTTAATTATCTACCCTGATTGGTAAATGCGATTTTAAGGAGATAGGCCATTTGGATGCAGTCCTTGTATCGCTGCATGGTTGTCCAGCCTTCGCTTAAAGGCGTCCAAAGACGGTGCCATAGCTACATCTGCCGGTAAGGAATTCCAGGGACGACAAACCCGCAGTGAAAAGAAGTGGGAGCGCACCCGGGTCCTTGCCCTCTGGTGAGCTATCCTTCTGGGATTTCCACGTGGAAGCCTATACCTACTCAATGGCAGAACACCTTTGTTTGGGTGATTCTGGTCATTTGTTATTTTGTAGGCAGTAATCAAATCCCCCCTAAGCCGACGGTAACTAAGTGTGAACAGGCCTAATTTCTTCAGCCTTTCATCATATGGTTTGTTTCGGAGACCAACCACTCCTTTTGTTGCCCGTCGTTGGACTCTTTCCAAGAGGTTGGCATCTCTTCTCAGCATTGGGGGTGCAATAATATTATGCACCTCAAGGTGTGGCCTGACGTATGTTTTGTACAACATTAGAAAGAGCTCAGGAGTGAGTGCACCTAACTGTCTATGCGTAAAGTGTATGACCGCATATGCCCTCGCTACATCCCCTGTGTAATTTACGCTTGTGTCCATTTTTTCCGTTAGAACTAGACCTAAGTCGCGTTCCGACGTTGTGCAGGACAAGCTTTCATTGCACAGGGTGTAACTTGCATTCTGCAGTCTACAGGTGCGCAACTTCACTACTTTGCACTTTTTCAAGTTGAAAGTCATGCCACTGGCCACCGCCCAGTCTTCCAGAAGGTTTAGGTCTTCCTGTAGCCTATCTGAGTCCTCCGGACACTTTATCGCCCTCCATATTTTTACGTCGTCAGCGTACAGGAGAGTCGGGCAGCTCAGACGGCGTGGTAGATCATTGATGAAAATCAAAAACATCAGTGGTCCTAGGATAGAACCCTGCGACACTCCTGATGACGATCTGTGCCAAGATGATCGGACTCGGTTAACCTTAGTGCAAAATTGCCTGTCGGCTAGGTAGTCCTTCAACCATGACAGAAGTGGCTCACCTATGCCTGCCTGGCTTATTTTATGTAGGAGAAGGTCATGGTGAACAGTGTCAAATGCCTTCTCAAAGTCTAGGAAGACCACATGGACTGGTACGTTCAAGTCCCAGCATGATGTCCAGTCGTCCCAAGCTGACAGTAGGTTAGTGACGCAGGATCTGCCTTTTCTGAAACCATGTTGGGCTTCATGTAGTATATTAGTCCTATCGAAATATTCCCTGATGTGGTCGTCAATAATACTTTCCAGTACTTTTGATACCACTGGGAGTAGAGCTACTGGTCTATAGCTAGCAGCGTTTTGCCTGTCCCCACCCTTGAAGATTGGAGAAAGGATGGCTCTTTTCCACTCCCTTGGCAGGGTCCCCGAATCCATTGAGTGTTGGAACAAGTCGCACAGGGGTCTACAGAGAGCCTCGGCGCACTGTTTCAGAACAGATGGCCTGATGTCATCACAACCTGGGGACTTCCCAGGTATGAGTCGCTGTAGCTTCCTTAGTACTATTGCGGGGTTTATTTGGGGAGTAGTCGCTAGGTCTTCCTCCTCTGAAATAGTGGTGCCACCATTTTGGTCCGTAACTGTAATATCCACATTGCTGTTTAGCTGTTTAGCGAAGGCTGAACTGAATGTTTCAGCCATCTCCAGACTAGTGAGATATTGACCGTTTGGGCCTACTAAGGCGCATGCCCCTTGGTTTGTCGGTTTTCTTTCCGACATGAATCGGTACAAGTTTTTAGGGTTTGATAGGAGTTTTTTAGCAAGGTTAGCCTGGAATGACCTTCTGTCCCTCCTGACTCTTGCATTACACCGGTTCCTGAGTTCGAGGTATGCATCATGGTCGGTCTGACTCTTAGATACACGCCACGTAAACCAAGCCTTCCGCTTTGCTTGCAGAATACGTTGCGTGCCTCTCTTCAACCATGACGTCTTTCTCTTAGGCTGTGTTGTGACTAAAGGGACGGTATCCGAGATTGCTGTATGGATAATCTTTTTTACCACTTCCCAGTGTTCATCCACAGATAGGTCGTCCCATGCTAAGGGCCAGTCTGCGTCGGACAAGAGCCTCCGCATTTCAGCATAGTCAGCCTTGCTGTAGCACAGACATGGTCGCGTAACATCCCATTGCAAACGCTCACGGAGGACAAGATCGAAACCTATGACTGCATGGTCACTGCTTCCCAGAGGAGTCATGATCTGGACCTTTTCGACGAGTAGCTGGTCACTAGTTAGAATATAATCTAGTTTTGATGACTTTCCACTAGGGCCCCACCTAGTGTCGTCTCCAACATTCTCAGTCAGTCCCGTGTTTCGAATAGTTTGCAGTAGGTTTCGGCCAAATTTTCCCTTAGCACACCCGGAGCCGAGGTTCAGTGATGGAGCATTGAAATCTCCAGCTATGGTGATTTGGTCGTAGCCCAAATCTCGTATTCCTGTGATAGTGCTGAGCAGTAGCTGATTGTGCTCTGCCCCACAGGTGGGAGATCGGTAGATGCCACCCAGTAAGTGCTTGGTGTGGCCTACGGTGAAATGACACCATATGGAGTCTGGGAGTTCGATAAGTGGTGGGTCCGTTGCGCGCACACATTTAAGTTGCCTATCAAAGTATATAGCAACTCCCCCTCCTTCCTTATTATCCCTGTCTCTTCTGACCAGTACCATATCACCTATACTGATTTCATTGTCGGCGATAGTGGGGTTTAGCCACGTTTCAGTAAGAATGATTATTTTCAGTTGAAGGTGTGCTTGGAGATTTCGAAGTTCACCTACTTTCCCTCTCAGCCCCCTCACATTGCTATATAGGCAACTGACAGTGAGTCTAACAACCTCAGAGTGTTGTGGGGTAGTTGACGTGAAACCGTCTGCTGGTGGGGGACTTGATGTTGGAACTAGTTGGCCGATTCCGATAGAACCGGCCCGTTGTAGTTTTTTTCAATGGATTTAGGCAGGACACTTGGGAGACACAGACTATTATTCTCAGAGCTGCATCGCTCTAGTGTCACCGAAGCTTGGGGTCGTATTAAAGCCTCAGTTTGCTGCCTCCTTATATTTCTGGGTCTGCTTTCACAGCATCGGATGTGTCCTCCAATTTTTCCCTTGGTCTCATACCACCGTTGAAGTGATATGGACAACTGCTCCGGGGAGTTGAATGTGACACACAGCAGCTTTGGAGAGTTAATCAATGTTAGATGAGCGGGACGAGGTAGTCGGAAAATGGAGATGGCTCCAGAAGCGCCAGGGGCCATCTGAGATGACAGCCATCTCCATTGTTGTACGTCGTGCATGTGTTTTTCACAAGCAGTGCCGGTTTCCAGCTCCGGAACACCGTGTACCACCATAGAGGTGGAAGGCATCAGTTCCGGTGACTCCCTCGCCATATTTCTGACAGCCCATGGTCTATCTTGCCGCGCTCTTATGTTAGAACTTCTGTCCAGGGCTAGTACCTGAGCCATTAACAGTACTTTTTCGGCCTCTTCGGCAGAGTCCAGTGTAACCCGTAATGGGGGTGGCTTACCCTGAGGCGTGTGGACACCCCTGTACAGTCTGCACAGTTTTGCTGAACTAATGTTCAGACCTAGTTTGCCGCACAGGTTGGACCACTGTTCCTGATCAAACAGGGCCCGTTGTTCGAGCAAGCTATCCGTGCTCACAGGTACGTTAAAGAGGATGAGAGAGTTAGACCGACTACCCTCAGACTTAGGTTTTGCCTTCGGCTTCTTGCAGTCCTTTGCATCATTAGCAACATTAGGCTTCATCGGTACCTGGACAGCCTTTTTTGTGTTGCCAGGCTTGCTAGTGGATGCAAGTGGTGCCTTTGTAATTTTGCCTTCCCCTGATGTGGATGGAACCTTGCTAATCTTCACCTTGTGAGAATTGGCATTTCCAGTCAGTAGGGCTGGTGTGTCCTTCTTTAAGTCTTTGACCAGTTTCGGCAGTGCGAGTTTAGCAGGGGGGAGCTGCAT